GCTCGGGACTGACCTTTTACAGCTTCGAACTGCCTGCAGAAATCTTGTTTTATGTGATGCACGTGGACACGATGTAATTGCGAGGGTGTCGACAAAGCTGGCTGGGAAGGTGGGAAATGAAATCCTCCCTCAGGTCAGCGCTGCCAGCCTGCACTTCCCAGCTCCTGGCTCATTTTTCCCGGAGCTTTGGGGCTCTCTGAGCTTTCCACACTTCATGATTATTTTCCCTCCTTCCAACGTGTTAGTTTGAGTTTCATGGGCACAGAGTTTACTTGGGAAATTGGGTTGGGGGGATGGGAAAGGGGGGGGGGGGAATGTGCATTTTGTTTTTTTCCCATCTCCCTCCTGGCATTCCCTGTTTTTTTTTTGTGTGTGTCTGTGGTGTGAGTTTGAGGTCAGAAATGCAGATGTATCAGTGTTTCTCCCATGATTCCAACTTGTTGCCCAGGCTTTGGGTTAAATCTCAGTTACTTCCTTGGGGTGACAAGGGGCAGCTTGTGACAGGAGAAGAGTTACCTTAATTCCTTCCTCATAAGTTGTGTGATGCTTTACACCTTGCTCAGTTCATTTTAAACCCTCTAAACCACAGTTTTCAAGGTGTTTCTCTGCTGTTTCACTGTTGGATTGCAAGCTGTGATTGATAGCTCTGGGGGTGAATATTTATTACACTGGGAAGGATGGGATGCTCCACCCAGGCTGGGCTGGGTTGTTTTGGTCTTTTGTGCAAATTATTTGAGCAACATAAACGCTGGTTTTTATCAGATAGGGTTTGGTTTTCAGTCTAGAGTGGTGTCAGCACAGGCCTTAATTAAATTGTGGCTTTTTGGGTAAAATTTATATATCTAGGAACACATCCCTTTCTGTGGGGCTCTAAATCCTCCTGAACTGTTGGTTCTGTGGGGCAGAGCTGTGCTCTCCCATCACCAGAGCAATCTCCAGGCACAACAAGAGTGTGATGGAAATAATAAATAAACTAATAAATCAGTTTTCCTCGGCTCTCAGCCCTTTAAATTGGGGTCAGAAAGAAAAGCCATTGGTGGCAGAAGCAGTGAGGAAACTGCAGTCCCCGCTGTCCCCACGGAGGAGCACGACTTAAAATCACATTTGGCATTTAATTTGGGGAACACAGAGCCAGTGCAAGAGGGGGAGGTGTCAGGCACACAATTAACTCTGATATGAGGCTCTCAAACCGTGGGGCACCTCGGGGAGTGATTTGTCACCACCCTCCCAGAGGGGATCTTTAATTGGTGTGTCATGACATCAAATCCGTGACAATTGTGTTATTGCTGCTGCTGTGGGCCAGGGAACCCAAATAAGGGGAACAAAAGCTCCTGTAGGAATCACACAATATTTTTAAAAGTTCCATCTCTTCTCCTCCCTGTTAAACTTGAGGAGCTCTTTCCACAAACCCACTTTTTGTGATTCTTTCTCTCTTGTTCACACAGAAGTATGGAAATTCATCAGATTGTGGGTGTGGGAGTCCTTCAAGCCCGCAGGGAAAGGTCTTGTCTAGTGGAAGGAGTATTTAAACATTTACAATATTACAGACAAGCAGTAATTGTAGTGCCTGTGAACATCTGTCCAACAGTTATGGACAACTGGGGAGCTTGTGGACATCAAGCTGAATATTCATTCACTTAATACAAAGTTTACATTTGTTTAAGATAAAGTTTGCTTCAGTGTAAAGCTCCTGTGCTGATCTCTTGTGTGTGTTTCCTGTCTTGTGATGCACACTCGGTGTGTGCAGGCAGGGCTCCAGAAGGCACCAGAGGGTTTCAGTTCCTCATAAATAAACATGGCAATAAATGATGGGACCAGCTAATTGGATTTGAGATGGTGGAAAGGGACATCGAGATGTTTTCTTGATACAGTTGTGTCGTGTACAAATGTACAAGTTCTGACTTAAATTAATCAGCTTGACCCACCAGAGGACTTCAAAGGGGGGTGTGAAAGGGGCTGGGCCTCGTGTGAGATGCCCTGCAAACATTTGTTCTGGTACATTTGGTTCTCAATTTACAATGAGGAAGGTTCATTCATCTGCAGAGACATTGCTTAATGGCCTCCATGCAGCCAGAACCTTTATTAAATCACATTTCATGGGAAGGACAGAGCTGCTGAGCACTGGAAGAAGTGGCATTTTAATTAAAACGGTGTTTCTGTTCTAATGGCCGGGATTACATTTCACTCTGACTTCTCCCTCATCCCCAGCTCCCCTGAAACGCCCAAATGTGGATGTTACAGAGCAGCTTCTTCAGCTTGGTTGGCCTTTAGTGTCGACAAGGTCCTTGTGTCAGTGTTTTGTGGGAGTGCTCCTTGGTGTTCTCCCTTCCCGTGGAAGAGAATCCATGGCAGAGACAAGATAATTATCCTCGTTACTCCTGACACGTGTGGTGAATTTATTTGCTTTGAAAATTAACGAATGCCAAATATTTATAAAGCATGAAGAGGTGTGAATGTGATTATGCCTACGTACAATGTTCCAAGCTTGGCCTGGGATGAGGGCAGCATCTTCCCAGTGGAAGGAAAACTCTTCCCCAGCTCTTGCCCTGAGCTTTACATGCCCAGGGGAAACAGTGTAAAAAGCAGGGTGTGTCGAGAAGCTGCTTTTCCTCCTCCTCTTCCCCCTTTCTGGCCCTTTTCCTGCCCCAGTTTGATCCTGCAAGTTCACACAGGTTATTTTCCTTCCTCCAGGTCACTGCTGGGGAGGGAAAAGCCACCAGACTCAGTCCATAAAGGACTAACGTTACCTGCAGCATCTCCAACCGGCCTTGGGCTCAGTCTCAGATGGCCTGGAATGAAATATTTACTATTAAACATTAATCAGGGAGCACAGATGGGTATCAAGTGCTTAGAACTGTGGCAGGGAGAAAAATCTTCAGGATCATTTCCAATATTTCTGTGATGTGATGAAGTATTGAGTTTCCAGCAGTAGTAGAATATTCTGGCGAGTGCTCCAAGAATTGACTGTTCTAAAGGTTCAGTTTATTTCCAGGGAAAGCCCAGAACACCTTCCAGAGGGAGAATGATGGGACTACTGCAGGATCTCAGTGGGAAGGGTTTGGGAAGAGTTTATCATGTGGAGTTCTAGAGGCATAAACAGATTAAAGAAATAATGTGAGTAAGGTGGTTGTAGTGTGGAAAAAGGGGCTGGGTGCTGTGCCATCCCTGTTCTTGCAGGATGAGGGGACAGCCCTGAATGAGGGCCTAATTCCCAGGATTATTTGAAAATAGGACATGTTATGTCCTCTGCGCTCACCAGCGCAGCCAGCAGCACGTTCCTGAGGAGGAATCCAGGGGGAATTGCCAGAAGCCTGAGAGGCTGTGGAGTGAATCCATTTGTACTCCAGAAAGTGCTGATAAAGATGTAAATGCAATCTCATTATTTGCCAGTCTTTAAACTGAGACAGCATCTGATAAGCTGATTGTTTGAACTGTGCTGTGCTGAGCACATCACCCTCCCTCACCTTCCATCCCAGTGGAATTGCTGTGGGATAACTTGTTTGGAATCTCTAATACAGCTGCAGTATGGCCAAATCCAGACATCTCAAAATCCTCAGGGAAGCCTTACTGAACCTTTTTCAAATTCATGAGGTTGATTTGAAAAAAAAAAAAAAAAAAAAAAGGGATTTTAAAAATCAAATTAAAAATTATTATAAATAAATTTTTTTGCTTTGTTTTGTTTTGTTCATCTCTTGTTTGGGAGTTGCACAACCTGGTTTTCTCTGCAACCAGCAGGTTTCACCGTCTACTTTGAGTTAAAATAAGTGGTAAACTGCTGAGGGTGTAAGAACCAGGCCAGATCTCCTCTTGATACACAGAGAAGGAGAAACAGAGGGGCCTTGGACAGGAACGTGATCACAGAGCTGGGTATAAAATGCAGTGGGATATAACTCTGTAACTCAGCCCTGCCGTTACTGGGAGTGTTAATTACTCCATCCTTAACCCTCTTGTGGAGCACAAAGGAGAGTTAAATGCTTTGGCCCCGTGTCAGGCTGCACGTTGGGGTTTCAGAACTTCAAATCTTGGATCTGAAGCAAAGCAGTTTTATGACCTGGCTTTCAGCAGTCAAGTGCTCCATAAATCAGCCTTGCTCTTCCGCCCGTGGGTTTGCACAGCTGATTATCAGCGTGGTTATATCCTAAATAAATTAGTGGGGATCTATCAATGCAATAAAAGCCTGCCTGAATATCAGGTTTAATGAAACCAGGATGGGTAACACCAAGCTTTGAGCAGGGGTTTGGTGCCTCAAGTCTGAGCCATAATCCCTGCAAAGGCACATTTATATCACCAGAAAGTGCAATATATATTTATATATATATATATGTAGGGAGAGAGAGGGAGACAGAGTGTGTGTGCTGTCATAGGGAGGGGCTGAGGAGCTTTTAGGGATTCCTTCTCAGTTTTGATTTTGAGCCTCTGATTTCTGTGCAGGCTCGAAATATCCTTCACAGGGTGTTTGAAAATTGCCCCTTATCTGAGAAAAAGTTTCCCTTGATCACACGAGGCCAATTGGAGGTGCTCACCCTTCAGATGAGGTGGGGAAGGACTGTGAGAGTCAATGGCTCAGGCCTTGGGCTGTGAATTTAGGTTAAGGTTTGGAAGCTGCTGCCCCATTTCAGGCAAAGCCTCCAGTGACAAGGAAGGGATCAGATATGTGTGTGTGTTTGTTCCTCCAAGGCTCCTGGTGTCTGCTGGGCAATAGGAACCATCTCCCTGAATTGGACTGAAAATCCTCCGCGTTTTCTGTGCTGTGAGACTTGCAAATTGTGCAGTGATTAAACAAAATTACCCATTGATTGCTTGGGAAGTGCAGATTTCTCTCCACCAGACTTACACTTTTGTGTGGTGGTGAGGAAGTCAGAGGAGCTCAGAAGACACCGAGGTTTCTGGGTGTACAAAAGCATTTTGTGTTGTCCTGTAGCTGAGCAGCTGAACAGGCTGCAGGTGAGATTCCTGAGGAACTGCCACTGAGAACCCAACCTTCTGTCTTCCTTTGCAGAATGATGAAGTCCTCTGTCCACCCAGAAGAAGATGACTTTGTGCCAGAGCTGCAGAGGAGCATCCACCCCAGGGAGAGGCCGGACTGGGAGGAGACGCTCAGCGCGATGGTAAAACATTTCCTTTTGAGACTCCTCATTTCCACTTCTGACTGTTCTATCCCACTTACACATTTACATTCCCCCAGTTCCAGCCTTTCAGATGGATTGCACAGCCCGAAATGCTTCCCTTCCTCTGGCAGTGTGTCAGGGAGGGGGAAGGAGCACACCCAGCTCCTCTGCCCTGGTAATTCGTGCCCCAGAGCAGGGCTGGGAGCCAATTAAAAGGTCCCTGATGTCACAACGATTTTCAGTCTGCATTAACCTCTTTTTTCAGCGAGACTTCTGAGCATGAAGGCAGCTCCTTGTGAAAACATGCTCTTTGAGACATGCAGCATTGTGGGAGAGGATGATTTTAGCAAAATGCTGGCTCAGTCCACAGCAATAAAAACTCAGGCTGAGAGCAGACCTGCCATCAGAGGGAGCAGAGCTGCAGCAGAGTGAACACAGAGGTGTGCTCTGCTCACAGGCACTGGGCCCAGACACCTGGGTTACATCAATATACATGTTTTCTTCTTAAATGAGTGAAATACCTGCAGTTCCACCTCCCCAGCTCCCTCCAGCGAAGGTGGGATGTTATTTCACTGGCAGCCAGACAGGGCAGTCAGATGAGGGGTTTTGGGGGGTTCACTCACCTCACAGAAGCTTGACCTGCCTTGTTTTGGCACAGGAGTGTCTGGGAGTTGTGTCTTGCTTGTTATTTTCAGATTTTCCAAATTGCCTCATTGGCAAACTAAGCTGGAGGGGGAATTGCCATCTGGGACAGCCCTTGGATGGGGGAAGGTGTGTGATTATTCCAGGACAGCAGTGGTGCCCCTGAGGGTCAGCCTTGGCTGAGATCACTTGGTGGGAAGAGCCACCAATGACAATTTTCCCGTGTTAGATCCCGGCTTCAGCCTGGAAAAGCCATCTGCTCCCTGCTCCTGGAATGCCAGCAGCAGGAGAGAGGGGCTGGATGTGGCTGTGCTGCAGGACAGTCAGAGCCACCTCATGTCTGGGGTTCGTCCCAGTGGGTTATTCAGAGTTTACAGCACTGTCAATAACTGGCTAGGTCATGTGGAGTGGATTTTGGATGAGCTGTTCTTTGTGCAACATTGAGAAGATGGGGGGATAATGAACTCCCTTAGAGCCAGGGAGTCTTTGAACAGGGGGACAGAGTCCTGTGGTTTACTCTTTATAAGCATCATCAAACCATATGTAATACAGTGATAATATTTTGCTCCAAAATTTATTTTCAAGCCATAAAAAGCAACCCAAAGCATAGACATCACCAGTGGTTTTGTCTCTGGTGTCTCTCTGCTTGTGGCTCTGCTTGACTCCTTGGTTATCCACTGTTCATGTTCACTGAATTCCAGAATGGTTTCTGTTGGGAGGGACCTTGAAGACCATCTGGACACCTTCACCAGCCCAGGGTGCTCCAACTTGACCTTGGACACTTCCAGGGATCCAGGGGCAGCCACAGCTTCTCTGGGCAACCTGTGCCAGGGCCTGCCCACCCTCACAGGGAGGAATTCCTTCCCAGTATCCCATCTCTCCCTGCCCTCTGGCAGTGGGAAGCCATTCCCTGTGTCCTGTCCCTCCATGCCTTGTCCCCAGTCCCTCTCCAGCTCTCCTGGAGCCCTTTTAGGCCCTGGAAGGAGCTCTCAGGTCTCCCTGGACCCTTCTCTCCTCCAGGTGAACCCCCCCAGCTCTCCCAGCCTGTCAATTTTGAATTTTTGCCGGTTTCCCTCCCTGTTTTTTCCCCCCTCCTGTGTGGATGTTTTTCCCCTCCCTCCCCCTGGGCCAGCAGTGTGCTCTGTGTGGCAGCACTGTCTGTTCTGATCAGTGCAGCTCAGGCAGCAGCTGCTCCCAGCTGGATGCTCCGACCCCCTGGAGCCAGGAGTGTGCTGGAAGTCCCTGGGTGACATCTCTGTGCTGTCTGCACCCCCCAGGTGTGTCTCAGAGCCCCCACCCGTGACACAAGTTACCTGGCACATCTCATTTGCTCCTGTCTTCTCTCTCATTGAGAATTTACAGTGAAGGGAACCTTCCCCTGCTGGAGGTTGTTGTGCCCATGGACACTGTTCAGTGTTGGTTTTACATTTCACCCTGTTCCTCCCACAGTTAATTCACTATTCACTAACAGTCCCAATTCACTAATTCCCAACTATTCCACAATAGTGGAATATCCTATTATAGCCTATCTATCCCATATCTAATATATCCTAACTATGACACAATAGTCAGTTCCACTAACTATTCCACAATAATCCTAATTCACCAGTTGTCCTATTAATTCACTATTTAGAACAAGTTCTCCCACACAGCCCAGTGACAGCAATACCAAAACTGAACAGTGCACTGTGGAAAAGAGATTTAGAGGGTGGTGATAAACAGGAAAACTCACATCTTGCAGCACAGTGGTTTGGTGTGATGAGAGACAAGTGTGAAGCTACTGAACCTGTATTTATAATGCCTTGGATTTGTGCTCACAAGGGTTGTTTTGACCTCATGGTCCTGTGAATGCAGTGTAGATGTGGAGAAAATCCTCTCTTGCTCATCATGTTTACTGTGCTGAGTGAATCAAATTTGCACTTTCCACCTCTGCCCTGTGTCCAGCCAGAGGTAATATTCAGCTGTAAATATTTGCAGGACCTTGTTCAACACTGCCACTGTTGTGTGTTTAACCAGCACATCTTCAATATTCTGCCTTTTTCTTGATCATTTTAAGCCTGAGATTTCCCTCCCCCCCTCGCTCTGTTCCTTCACTTCACATTTTCAGCAGCTTCTGGTTTAGCCTTGTCCCAGAGGATGCTCCTTCCATGGGTGGTGACCATCTCACAGTGCCAGAATAGATGGAATTTTTGGTTGGTGGTCGCTGAAGTTGCAGATTTCAGGTTTCGGGGGTGCCTGAAGTTCCAGCCCCTGGGGAATGGAGGTTTGGAGAAGTTGTTTCCTCCCCCCCATTGCTCCTCCTGGCAGAGCTGCAGCCCTGGTGGGCTTTGTCACCTCCCATGGATGTCACCTTCTGCCAGGCACTGGGACAGGTGACACTGGGAGAGCTCGGCAAGCCCTGACACAGGTGATGCTTCTTCCCTTTGCCTTTGTAGCTGCTTTTGTGCTTTGGGAAAAGGCCATTTATTGCTCACAGCTACATGAACATGCACAAGTCCTCCCTGCTCTTCCTTCCCCTCTTACCCACAGTATTTTTCAAAGTGCTTATTATTAATTGATGTGAGTGCTTTGTTTCGAGAGCCTTTTCTTGACAGGAAATAAATGGAAGGTCTTTCTAAATGCATGGAGGTTGAGTGACCTCCTGTGCTGTAAATAAAAGTGACAAGAAACTCTATTTTTAATAGTTCTGTCATTGCCAGTTCTTTCTGGGCACCTGAGCTTTGGTCCCTTTGTTGGATGGTACTTTTATCACATTCTTTATGCTTGTTATTTGTATTTTCACCTGCTCCTTAGAACTGCTTGTTTGGCAGGAAGACAAGGGATTTTGTGTTGCAGAAATGGTTGGTTTGGGGAGAATCCCCAAATCCCAGGGTGGTTTGGGTTGGAAGGGACCTTAAAGCGCATCCAGTGCCACCCCTGCCATGGTCAGGGACACCTCCCACTATCCCAGGTTGCTCCAAGCCCCGTCCAAAACCCCTAAAACCATGGCAAGATTATTTCCCACCCTGGTGCCCCCCTGGGTGGTATTTTATGGGATCTGGAAGTTCCACTGCCCATGACAGGGTTATCCCATGAAGGCTGCAGTATCCTCAGGTGTTCCCATTTTATAACCAGGTTGCCTAGGAAAGGTGAGCCTCCAAATTACAGATGGAAAATCCTCCTGGAGCCTTGAATTTGGCAAATGCCTCAGTGTCCAAGAAGGCAGTTTGTACACAGCATCCTTTGGGGATCATGCTGGTGCAATTTTCTTAGGAAAAATAGAAGCCTGTAAATATGTTAGAAAGGCAGAAGGGTTAAAGCCTGTCCTCTGAAGTCCCTGGAATAATCTTAGTTTTTATATCAGGTCAGAGGGGTTCTGAGCTCTGTAGTATTTCCAGCATGTGTTAGGGTAAGGTATCACATCTGGTGGAGGTAATAAAGGCTTTTAATGAGACCTCAATAAATCACTCTGTTAAATCTGGGACGTGAGTGAGGAGAAAACTATTTTTAAATGCAATTTATGGAAGTGTGCAGAGATTAGTGCATTGTAGGAGTTTAAAGGAAGATTTTGTGTCCTTAGTGCAGGGTTTGTTTCTCATTCTTTGTGCAGCACTCAGCCAGTGCTGCCCCAGGTCCTGATGCAAAAAATAGAGTGTGTGGGGTTTCTTTTATAATTATTGTTGGTTGGTTGGGTGGGTTTTAGCTCACAGAACATCAGGCATGTTTCTGATGCAGACTGATAGGAATCCTTTCAGGAGCTGTGGCAAAATCTGAATGAAAAGGGAGCGCGGTGAATCCACTTGCTTGGCCCTGTCAGCTGCAGTGGTTTAAGGAAATGATCTAATTTCTAATTTCAGCAGGCCAGAGAGGTGGTTCTAATACCCTTAAATATGTTAAAATGGACATTTGGATGGTTTTATTCCCGTGGCTTTACAGCTCTTGGTGCTCTGTGTGTGTAGGAGGCACAACTGGAATTTTACAGCTGTGGGAGCTCTTAAGCCACTGTGACAGTTTTGTCAGACTGATCCCAAATTCAGGTGGGTTCTACACCACAGACTCCTTTGGGGAAAAGATGCTTTTGAGCTCTGAATGCCCACCTGGCAAGTTCTTTTTAAGAGTCCAGAGTTTTAAGCTCTCAAATACAAGTGAAAGTTTCAGGAGATCAAAAGCTGGAATTCTGGTTTTTGAAGGGCTTGGATAGTTCAGTAGGAATGGACTTTAGAATTGTGGAATATCCTGAGTTAGAAGGGACCCACAGAGATCATCCAAGTCCAACTCCTGGCCCTGCACAGACACCCCAGCAATCCCACCCTGCCCCCAGGAGTGTTGTCCTGGTGCCCTGGCAGGGTTGGATGCTGCCTTTAGATATTCCCCACCTA